TATTAATTACAAGTTTACAATTTTTTTTTTTTTTTTTATATACCGTCAACTTTTATGAAAAATCTAATGTACATATTATCCCAAAATATTTTAGATATGTTGTAATTTTTTTTGTTGTAGGTTATTTTTAGTTTGGTGGACAATCAATAACGTCATAGTAACATTCTTAAGTCTAAAAACTTTGTTTTTTCGGTAAGCAAAAAATGCAGATTATTTTTATTTACTCTCCTTTCATTAGTGTTTGTATGTTAGAGTCTAGATTAAATTAGTGATCTAGGAAAATTAACATTTAAACAATATTAGGACCTAAAACCCTACCGAAAAAAGTTTCTTTATCGAAATCAGTTTCTAAAGTGGCATGCGGATTACATTCTCTGACACTGAGTATGAAGTTTGTCTGGTTAGACGGAACAACTAGAATAGTTCTGCCATTAGGTAGGAACTGCTATGTGGCAGCTCTTGATTGACTGTAGCTTATGAATTTTAATTAGTTCACTTCCCTGTATCTTTTTTCATGATATTTTCATTGTTTACTTAAAATAATTTTTTAGATTTTCTAAAATTTTTAAATTTATATTTTCTAGGTTCAGAAAATATGTTTTTTTCTTAATTTTAAACCATTTTCAATCAGTTAAAAATGCTAAAAAATTATGGAAAATTAAGGAAAAATAATTTTTTATCATATAAAAATTTCAAATATTATTTTATTATAATCTAAAAGTCTATTTTCTATTGTATGTGAAATTTTAATTAGTTTAAGAATTCTAAAATTTCCAAAATAAATTGAGACAAATATTTTTGGCCATTAAAAAATTTTGAGAAAATTATAAAATTATTTTAAGTATGTTAAATTGGGAGTAGCATATATTGTTAACCTAATAATTATGCATATGTATATTTAATAATTTTTTATAATATATTATAAAAAATTGTGGTATATGTATAAAACCTCAACGGTGGCAAGGACTCGTGAACTAAAAAAAACGGTTGTATAACTGGTAACAAAATCATACAAGATAAAATTAAGCTCCGAAAATGTATATGCAAGAAGAGAGTAATTAAAATGATTTACTTGTTTATTTGTGCTGGTGTGGAGCTTTGTAACAAAGCTATTGCTAAGTCGAGGCCGAGCCCAACTAAAGATGGAAGCGGTGCGGGTATTTCAAGATACCCAATTTTGCTTCGATCCGTTTAAAGAGGATATATATAGTTATAAATATGTTTAGAACAAATACAAATAGTAAAATTATTATCCGTTATAGATACGGATAGCGTACGAGTATACGGCTGCTTTGGACACTTGCTACCCATTACTCGCTATAGGTTTGCAGTGGGTATCCATGAGTATCATATCTATTATTAGTAAAAATTATATTTTAAATAAGTTCGGATTTAGATAATTTAAAATTCAGAGATACTTTATCTGCATAAGAGTATTTTAAATGAGTTTTAGACGAGTATATGTAGTAAAAATCTAAATAAATTCGAATATAAATATTAAATGAATATAAATATGAGTAGTTTAAAATCAACCTGAGCATGAGTAGCTAAAAATTGGCGGTTACCGCACTCTTCCATCCTGAACCCAACACCTAAAAGAGCTGCTTGCGAGATGATTTATCCGTTATATACTTTTTTTTTTTTTTTTTGTCTCATCCAATAACAGGATAATCATGTCTTATATATGTTTATTAATCCTTACGTTTTTTGTATATTTTGATTGGTGAAAGACGAAGGTACATTTTAAGTAGTGGGTATATTCTTCCTTATTAGTACTTTCAAATCTTTAAAAAGTATGATCATATATATAGTAATATACACCTTATTAATCTATTCTTCTGATGAATCCTTAAATTAAAAGAAAACTAAACTTAGAGAAAAAAAAGTTCAAAATTAAGACTCCCGTCTCTATACAAAAATATTAAGTATATGATGCTCCCTATTTCTGAGACCGAGCGGCTATGACAAAATAGAACATTCTCCTCCACTCTTCACTCACACTCCACTACATTTTAGTTCACAGATTACACCGTTGCTCTCTCTCCGGACATTTAGAACTTCTATGCTCTTCTCTTCAAAGCCTGACATCCTCGCCCTTTTTACGGTTAAGATACCCCTAAAAGACGCAAAGGCAGGCTTTCCTCATCATGCATACGCGAAGAATAAAACACTTACTCTCCATATGAAACTACATCCAGAGTTTTATATATTGAAAAATAGGAGAAACGATTATGTATGAACTGAGTGTTGTCTGGAGGTCTATTTAAGCAGTAGAGTATAAGTTAAGCATTCAATACAATGGCAGCTGACCTAGAGGGTATGATAGAGAAGTGAATCAAAATATGATTAATTATCTATTATGATAAACAAAATATTCTCTGTTAATATTGATCACACTACAGAAAATTGTGTGGATTTCTATAACAAATTACAAACAGTAGACAAGCAAATTGATTAGGAATGAATTTGTATGTGTAACTGTTGTTATCGTATACTCATAGAGTGATTTTGGGATCTGTTAGTTTTCTTATGGTATCTATTGGTGCCGAGACACGAAAGATTTTTGAATTATGAGTCATTTATGCGACTGGAACTCGAATTTTAATAGGTTTTCACCATCGTGTATAGTAATTTAAATAATCACATTATTTAAGGCTCCATGGGTGGGCGGCCGAGAACGCTTCTCCTTGCCTCTCTCTTTTGTTTTACGAGCAACCTCTGTGGCTTCCTCATTTTTGCTCATGGTCACTTTTACACCATTTATTTCCCTGTTTAGTCTATTTAAAGTTAAAACATATTTTTATTTAATTCTGATAGTGTTTCCAACAATTCCTCGGCGGCTTAGCTTCAGCTACGGTATCTATATCTCAACGCATAAGTTTATGGCACTTTCATTTATATGTACACCCTCATATGTGCCTGCTATATCATCGATCGCTTGGGAAATTTTCTCTTCAAGCCTATCAATCTTTTCGCCCAGTAGGATTGTGAAAGACTTGAATCCCATTCGTAGTTGCGTACTGTCTAAGTTTATATTGACCCACTTCTACATACTCTCTCACCAGAATGTGCACGAATGGCTAGTCTCCTCTGCAGTCGGGTACAAATAAAGGTTCCCCAGAATAGTCAAGGACCAAAGATAGGAAGCGATGGATTCACCTTGCAGTGCGTACCATAGTAATTGGAAGCTTGATAGTTGTCTCCGAAGAAGTGCGTGTTGAACCTACGTGGAGAGGGCCTACTTGAAGACTTGATTAACGGTATGAAAGTTGAGCAACGAGATAGTTAAGATTCGGATTAACTCTCTACTTTTATTCCACACAGTACCCCATCCCCACATCTATACTGTGATAATTTAAGACCTTAGATTGTTGCTCATTTCATGATGCTCGAAGAGTGGTGACCTTGTTGAGGCCCTTCGCTTGTATGATGAGGCACGAAGTAATGGTATCCAGCTTACCCAACACCACTATATGTGTTGCTGTATTTGTGCTCTTCTGGTTCTTCGGTTGAATTGAAAGGAGATGGGGTTGTTGCAAATGCCTCTGATTTGAGTTTTAAAAGGGGTTTTGAGATTTATCAACAGATGGTTACAGATAAAGTTGCTCCAAATGAAGCTACTTATACAAATGTAGCTAGGTTGGCTTTTGCATCGGAAGACCAAGAAATGGCTTTTGATTTGGTTAAGAAGATGAAAGGCTTTGATATCCTGTCAAAATTGCGTTCATATGGACCGGCCTTGTTTGGATTCTGCAAGAAGGGGATGGCTGATAGAGCTTATGAAGTTGACACTCACATGGCTGAATCTGAAGTGAAGTGCAGACACATTTATAACGCTGACACAGTACGGATCGGAGTAAAGAATGAGGGATTTGTGTGGTTTCATTTGCAGTGACAAAGGAAAAGAATTGAATTGGGCTAATTTTTTATACAATCATTTATTAGGAAATAGCTAAAAAAAACAAAAAGGATGAAGTAGGTCACTAAGATATGAGATATGAGATTGTTCGAGGAGCTGATTCCATAGGAAGTATCAGTTGAACCAATTGCATTGTCTCCGATCTTAGCAGATCCATCGTCAGCCAACGAAATCCGTGGTTTCATTGTTGATACTTTAAGACTATATGAAGCGGGTCTCAGCATGCATATTGTCTCATTTATCCGTTAAAATTAAAAGTTTATATATTGATGAAGGCTTGTTTGGCACCAAATTCGAACCTCTAACGAAGGCTTTTCTGAGTTTAAGTTAGTTATTAAAAATTGTAAGTCGTTACTTTTACAGGTAATGATTTACGATTTCTTGGGTTTGACGCCTTACTAATATAGTTGCTCGTTTGCTTACAAGAGCAGCTATTACAATAGCTGATAGTAAGAGTTAGAAGGTTCCTCCAGATTTTTTGTTACATAATTTATTATTTTTTCACCTAGCATAATAGAGCCTAGGTCCGGTTAAGAGGGGAGCCTGGTGGCAGAATTTAAATGGCTTTGTTATGGTAAATTTTTCCTAATATTTTTATTAATATTATTTCGGTTTTCCAAAAAAAAAGTTATAGGTTGATATTTGAAGTCTTTCTAGTCTGTGTATATCCACTAATAATTTTATTTTCAAAATATTGAAATTTTTCATTTTTTTTTTTTGGATGGATGAACATTTTGCAGGAGAATAAACAATATCTACAATCAACACATCCTAGCGCAATCCAACCTCAAGTGTAAAATTTTAAAATTATTGCTCAAGTCACTGATGCTATATAGTTCCTCAAATGTGTTTCTAGATTAAATCAATGATGCAGAAAAACAAAATATACCATGCAATTTGAAATTTGAAAGTCCGCAGCAAAGCGCAGGTAATTTTTTTTTGCTTGTATGATCTATTCCCAATACCAGCCTCGTAAAAAAATTAATTTAAATTAATCTTTTTTTAGAATAAATTAAAATTAAAATTAAAATAATACTAACAAAAAAAAAAAAATTGCATTGCGTGTAGAGTTCGTGGAGGAAGATGCTGCTATAATTCGGGAACTTCCACTGCTTTGCTTATTTTGCTTTACTCTCTTCTTTCCACTCTAATGCAAATTGAACTTCCCCTATTTTGCTAATTTGCTTCACTCTCTAATGGGTGTTTTGGATTTCATTTACGCAACAGCCCATTCGGTCAGTCAAAATAGCAAAAAACATGTCGATAATTTCTTTTCCACCTCTTACTCTTACGGATGTGCTGCCGCCGGCCAGATCGGTAACGCCGTGCAAAAGCTAAACCGGCAGTTGCAGAAAGAGGATACTCGTCGAATTGCCGCCGATGTTGCCAAGAATACCACCGTTTTTGCCTGCCGTTATGGTCTTAAAACTGTCTTACCAGGTACGTTTTTTTTTATATTTATTTATGGTAGATTTGATGTGTGCATGTATGTGATTTTGGTGATTTGTGAGGTGCAGAGGAACTTGTGAATATTGTTGTGCCGCCATCTGCTTATGCTGTCAACAAATTGATGAATCTGGAAAACAAAGAATTAATGAAATTAAAATCTGAATTGGATGATCATAAACAGGAGGTAAAAGAATTGCGAGTTGTGACAAAGAAAATGGAGAAAGAACTCGAGAGTTTAAGAAAAGATCAAGATCACAAATTAGAGAGACAAAGAAAATATCAAAATCACAAAAAGGTCAGTATATTAATATCATAGCATAAATTACTTTCATGCATTTTGCCATGCTCATGCATCTTTGGAAATAATTATGCATGTGCATATAAATATCATATATGCACATTTATTAGAATTTTGAAATATGTTCAAATTTAGTATGTAAAATGCATCCTTAAATATTGATGTGTAAGGATGATATTTATATATTGATATGATTTTCTAGAAGGATGTACTCAAATGAGAGATTAAAGGCCGGAGGTTAACGAAATCTCATTCTTAGAGAAAACCAAAAATTCAATATTTAAGAATGAAATTGGGCTGTTTTGAAGACAAATTTATGCAAATTCATCAAAAGTGTAATGCTTCCTAATGTATATCATTAAATTAACCAGCAAAAATACATGAATTTTTGGTTAATCTCTAGCCTTTAATCTCTCATTTGAATACAAGACCATTAAAACTTAGAGATTGAACCTCAAAACTTGAACTTACAATTTACCTTCATGATTATAGGAATCACATGCTAAATGGAGAGAATAAAAAATTTCCCGCATTGAAACTATGTGTCAAGGACTACACTTTGAACCATGAAGTGACATTTCTTCTAACTTAGAACAAGGCTAACTTCATCAAAGCGCTTCAGAACTTTAGACAGGTTAAACAAACAAGAATCAAAATAATTTCCATACATATAAAAGCCATCCATAGAAACTTCTATTATTTCCTTAGTAAAATCAGAAAATATGGTCATTATGCATCTTTGGAATGTTGTTGGCGCATTACATAGTCTAAAAGGCATGCGTCTAAATAACAGGCTACACTTAATCAAAAGCGCTTTCAACTTTAGCCAGGTTAAACAAACTAAGAATCAAACCTAATTTCCAATACATATTAAAAGCTCCATAGAAACTTCTATTATTTTCCTTAGTAAATCAGAAAATATGGTGCATTATGCATCTTTGGAATGTTGTTGGCGCATTAACATAGTCTAAAAGGCATGCGTCTAAATGCAAAAGTGTCGTAAGGGCATGTGAAAATGGTTTCTCTTTGATTATGAGGATGTAGGCATTTTATAAATTCTATATAAACCATCTAAATAACAGAAATATTGAACGACACTGTTAAGTCTTCCAAATTTGATCCAATATATGCAACCGGAAATGATCTTTTAACCAATGATATTATTCCAGTTTTCTATAATCGACACACATTCTCCAACCCTCATTGGTTTCTTATAGCCAACGTTTACACTTATTCACTCCTCCTTACAAACTGTAAAATCTTTCTATAATCGACACACATTCTCCAACCCTCAATTGTTCTTATAGCCAAAGTTACACTATTCACTCCTCTTACAACTGTAATCCCTTCTTTTTTTAGAACTACATGCATATAATTCTTGCATCTAGCAGTTTCATTGACAAATTTTATCATGGTTGACTTGCTGATGTAAGTAGTTGTTTTGGCATGGCAACATAAACGTGTTCAACCTAGTTTGATAGATATATTGCTTGATGAATAACTTCTTTACTTTTAAGCTATACTTTTTATTCAGTTGAACGCTCACTCTTGTTCCCCATTTTTTTCCAGGTCTTTCGTTAGCAGGAGTACGGTGCTGAATTTGGTCTAGTGATGATGGCACATTCCTTTCCTAGTGGCATTCTGTCTTAATGTTATTCTAAGATAATTGTTATACCTTGTAGAACGCTGTGTGTGTGTATGTGTACCAAGTAATTATGTGGATAATGTTTTGTGTATTTGAGGGTTGATTGTCTTTCCCATCTTCTATCCTATTTATGTGTAGGAGCAGGACATGCTGATTTGGAGTTTGGCTTGATTCCCCCTTTTGACATGCATATTATTGGTGAGGCTACTCTTTCCTTTTGTTTATTTTGAGATATGGTTTATCCTTTGCTTGTTTATGGATAATGGATTGAACCTAATGTTTTGGAAGGATTTATGGTGGCCTCAAGTTACTAATTATAATTATAAAATTAAAAAGGGGTTAATTAATACAATTGATGTATAAATTTTGCTGGGTTTTACGTATCATAACATAGTTGAGAAAAAAAACAAACTACCAAGTCTACAAGACCTAAGGGCCACGAGACGGGCTTAAAATGCCCATTCGGACTAAAATTCCAAAAAACAAACACGACCCATCAAAACACTCTCACTCGAACCTTTGCAAAACTATCCATACTTGAATTGTTAATCTAGATTCAGCATGTATAATGGCAAGGTTCTCTGACTGTCTATCGAAGGGTGAACAACTCAAGGTTAGATTTCGACTTGCTTAAGTATTCATAAACTGGCAAGAATCTTATTTTTAATCTTCTGTTTTGGATTTTTAATAGTCCAGACATTATGTATCGTTAAAATAATATTTAGTATTTATTTTATTAATTTAATTGCTAAAATTACAGAAACAAATTGCCATAAGACAAATAAAATAGAATTATTAGCCAAGTAGTGATTTGATTCAAGATTTCCAATGATTAGTCACAAAACACCAAAATTTCCAAGTAGTGCTAACTTAAATTTGCTTCGTGTAGCCACTAGGCAGTGAGCCCAAGAAGAGGGTCTCCTGCCCCACCTCCCTATCCCCTCCGCCCCAAAATACTAACATGGTGCCAAAGCAGTACCAACTGTTTTTATAGACCAAAAAGAAAGGCTCTCAAACACTTGTTACATAAGAGTAGCTTCAGCTTATTTGCTTATAAAAAACTATAAATTCCAAAAGTACTTAAAAGCACACGGAAGCTAAAGAGCAAGTAACAATGACTTCTACATCTTCATTTTTATTACTCTTTGCGCTCTCTCTCTCTCTCTCTCTCTCTCTCTCTCGCACTTTAAAATTTCGATAGTATAAAAAGACATCCATCAATGAAAATTTATGACTTTACTGAAAGCAAAACCATAGTCAAATTTTACCAAAAACATTCAAATAAACAATCAGATCTCTTAAAACAATATGCAAGGCTAGATTGTTTCCAATGGGACCATTCTTTCAGTAATAGACTCATAAGCAATGAGTTGAATCATTTAAAATAATGAGATCATAACATAAAAAAAGTTAAAAGAAGACAAAAAAAACCAACTAGCATAACAAAAGATAAATTACAATAGCATTTCCCAGAAAAAGAGAAATTCTTTAGGGTATATTAAAGCTTAAGCAACTCCATAAATCAAAATTCTAGTCTTGATATGACAATGGCTGGGAAAATGTAAACCGCACAGCAAAAGCTCATAACAGCACTTTTAATCACTCTAGCTATAGCATAACAAAAGAGTCTTGATACTAATACAAAATTAAACCATAAAAAAAGAAGTGGGTAGAGATGCACATATTAACGAAGCCTCCTGGCTTCTCTTTCAGACTCAAGAAGGGTGAGCACATCACCTTCTCTAACAGGTCCCTTGACATTCCTCATGATGAATCGATTCTGATCATCAAGAAACTTGACTCTGACTTGAGTCACCTGCCCCCTCGATCCTGTCCGACCCATAACTTTCACCACCACGGCGTGCTTGATTTGTGAATCCATCCTGCACCAGGAAACCAAATGCAAGTAAGAAATTGTGCTGAATGCTCAACCAGGTACCTAACAATACAATAATATTTCATAGGCAATGAAACGAAACATACAGAGGAAACTGAGCAAACAAAATTTTCCTCCGCAAACAAATATCTCCAGAACCAGTTTAAATTACAGAAACCTACAATGTAATGATTTTCGAGTCCCTTCCTTTTCTTAGAACGAAACAATTGTATTCTATAAAAGTTAAAATTGCATCGAATTCTACCATAATCAAACGAAAGAGAAAATTATAACCCTAACCAGAGATTTCATCAACAAACAAAAGAAACACCACACAAAGAGAATAGAGGATTAAGAACCGCACCTGAGAACGATTCCGATAAGGATCGCCTGAAGCAAGATAGGGTCAGAGAAAGAAGCTCGGTTCTCGCACTCTATTGGTTTCGCTCTTTCGCGGCTGAGTTAAGGTCTTTGTTTTTAGAGCGTCTAAACCTAGATCCAACGGCTGTTAAAGAAGTAAAGTTTAGATCCTACAGTTCACGTAAGGCGGTGGTAATGAATGGTTGACCTGAAGCAAAGTCTTATATCTAACGGTCAATATTCAAAGGACGAAATGATCTGGGCTCAGCAGTTGGGCTTACTTTAGATATAACAAGCAATCTTGCCCCGCACTAGGTGTATTGATGATTTCCTATTGTTTTTTTTTTATTAATTTTTATAAGATTAATTATTTGAAAATTTTCTTATTATCCATCGATAAAACTCGACTATAACTCATATTGAGCTTCATTTAAAACAAAATATACTTTAAAATTTTTAATTGGATTTAGAAATTGAAATACATAGTTTATTAAAAAGATTGTCTTAGAAAAAATACTTATAATTGAATAAATTTTTATTTTTTAAAAAGTGTTTGATATAAATAAATTAAATCAATATTGTCATTAATAAATAGAAATGGTAAAAAATTAAAATTACTTTAAATAAAATTTCTTTATACTAATTTCTTTTTATTTGGTTAATAAATAAAAATTTTAAAAAGTAAAATTAGTTATTCTTTATCTTCTTCTCTATTTAAATGGAAAAATGGGTCAAATTTTCAAAGAATAAAAATGAAAAAAAAAATAAAATGAAGGAAAATAGTAAAAGTATTTGTAAAGTCACTCTTCATATGATAATAATATGATATTATATAATATATTATTTTATCTAAGGAAGATGAGAAAAGAGATTGGCATTTGTAAAGTCACTCTTCATATGATAATAATATGATATTATATAATATATTATTTTATCTAAGGAAGATGAGAAAAGAGATTGGCCATGGCTATTAGTAATGGTTCCAGATACTCAATGGGAGTAGAAATTGTCAAAATACTTCAATTTACATTTATAATCATAATATATTATAGTATAATATAATACAATACTGTATTTCATCTAATATTATATATACAAATTTAAACATTATGTTAGGTGGGCAAGCTAAATTCTTGCCATGTGTAGAAAAAAAAATGAATTTAGTGGGTTGTAAAAGCAGACGGTAAAATAGGAATAGCGAAAAATGAGATGGTTTAATAGGTATTGCACTATTCTATACATAGTGATTTTATTTTTCCTTGCCACGTTTTGAAAATGGGAGTTAATGAGCAGTAAAAGCAAGGAGGGTAAAAAAGGAATAGCAAAAAAATGAGATTGTTTAATGGGCATTGCATTGTTCAATGATCAGTGAATTTGGTTATCATTTTAGTATATATATATAAAACTAGTTGAAACCCCGCCCCGAAGTGCACAGATCGATTTATAAGTTAAGCATAATGTCAAATCCTAGGTACTCCGCTAGATAATAATTTTATTTAATATATTTTCATACTTCCTTGGTAAATTCATAATTTGGTAAAATTAATTAAGATTCTGAAAATTGTATAAACTATACCATATTTAAGCAAGTTATTTAAACATTTAAAAAATTAAATTAAATTAATATAAATATTACTTTCTTATAAATCTTTTTTTTTATTCTATCTTTTTATTTACTTCAAATTAATTTTTTTATTCAATCTTTTTATTTATTTCAAATTAGTTTTCCAGTTAGTACTTAAATGACCACTTATAATACTTTAACGACATCATCGTTTCAACTATATCATGTGGTTGCTATAGCTATTTGGGTACAATGAGTAGATAATTCTTTAGTTTAGTATGTATAAATATTTATTTTAAATTTTGCAGTTTTAATTATGTGATGAATTAGTATTTGCCGCAAACCATGCACCGAAGAAAAGACCATTTTCAATTCCAAACCCAACAAATAAGAGCACGTAAAATACTAAAATTAACTATTACGGTAATAGTAAATAATACTAAAAATAATTATTATGGTAGTAGTAAGCAGAAAAAAGCGACTCCTATACCCTTTGGAAGGTAATAATTTATAGGCTCGGAGCACCGCCTAGAAAAATATAAATGATCAATAATAAGCAAGATTTAGCGAGATTATTAAAAAGTTAAAACTCAAATGGCAAAGAAGTTGATAAAATACAGAGTAATATAGAATACCTAATGTTAGGAATTTTATAAAACAGTTAAGAGTCAGTGATAATGGAAACAAAACAATGAAAATGAATAAAGAAAGAACAACAACAAATCAAATATTTCCCTATATAAAATAAAATTTAAATTGTACATAGTAAAATTAGCAAAAAAAAAAAAAAAAAAAAAAAAAAAAAAAAAAAAAAAAAAAAAAAAAAAAAAAGAAAAGACTCAAATCTCTTCTGTATCTCATCAAAGAAATTTCAATTTTCTATCTATTGCAGCACTCAAAGTCTCAAGCTCTCTGCTTGATCTCTCATTCCATTCAATTCCTCTCTTTCTCTCTTCAATTTTCTTTATTTGACTTCTCTCTTATCTCTACCTATTCCTCTTCTTGATATCCTATTGGACAAAATGGAGCTCTTCGGTGCGTTTGCAAAAGAATCGAAGAAGCGTGATCGTGAAGTTGATCAAGTTTTTTGTAAAATTTCTTTTGATGGTGAGTTTTTAACTCGTATGAAACCTATCCATTATTCATAATAAATTAAGTTACTTTAACTTTCTATTTAATTATTTATAATTAAGTTATTTTTAACACAAACACATCAAATATTTTTAATGCTAATTCCTGACAGTATTAAGAGGGAGTGTTCATTAGACCATCTGAATCGATTCAAATCGACCTAAACCGATTTAAAATTGCAGTTTTAAAAAATTATTGATTTGATTTGATTTTATAAAATTTAAAAATCAAATTTTTGGTTTTGTTTATGGTTTTTAGGCCATCCAAATGAACCAAACCATTTTATATATATTGTGTTTAAACCGCACCAAATCAACCGACCAACAGAGGAAGATTTTAAATTATTTATTTTTAAATTAATTTATAACTGTTGGCACCTCTTCCTACTCCATAGATATTTTCTATTGGCGAAAATTGTATAGCTTGGTGTGTTGCATTAGCGGGTGCAAAGAAGTCGGAAAAATTAAACCTAGACCGAGTCTATGGTTTCATTCATGAACCAAATCAATGAGAATAAAATTTTTTATTGAAATGTGAATATTTTTAATTATAAACCGGGAAAAAAAGAATTAAGTTGAAACATTTTTTAAAGAATCGTTACTGTCCTATGGGTCCGGTGGTTAGCTAGAAATAAAGAAGTCTTCAAAAATGATAGGAAAAAATTGTAGATTTTCATAAAGCAAGAAGTTTTAAGCTTTTAGAAGACAATCAGTTTATTTCCAATAGAAGTTTGTAAAACAGGTGTTGCTTTCCGAAAACAAGCTTTGGTCTTATGAATGTTTATGGCTCTTCTAAAGGAAAGCCAAGTCGAGTAGATGTGGGAGATATTTTAAGAGACAGTAATGGCCTGCAGTTTTTACTATTAATTTCTTTGGGATTTTGGATAATGAGGTGGAACTTCTGACCGTGTTTTCTGCTAAAGAGATTTTTTGGCTTTCAAATGTTAAAGATTATTCAAATCTGATACTAAAAATGCTTTGTGCTGGATTATTCAAAAGCAAAAGAGGCCATGAAAATGGTGGAAGAAGTTCAATAAATTTGATCAGATATTGTCTCAACTTAATCAGGTTCGGTTTGTTTATGTTACAAGAAATCATTATGCAAATTAGTACCCTAAAACCTCTATAAATTAATAATGTTGAGACCATGAAATTTTATTAATTTAGAAAGATATTAATTAACTAATAAATTTAGAGAGTGCTATTTTGATTCAGCGAATATAAATTTAATAGCATAAAAAATCATTGTATGTATATCACTATCATATTTTGTGAATCAATATATATTGCGTATGTATATCACTGATCATATTTTGTGAATCAATTATATATATATATATATATTATATATATATATATATATATGAAAGCTGAATCAAAGAGTAAAGATTTTAAATATGAAAGCTGAATCAAAGAGAAAGTTTTAAGATTTTTCTTTGTTCAGAATTGTATATTTCTTTTTTTTTAGAAATTTGAAGTTTTTTATTTTTTCTATATTTTGATTGGCCTAACTTAATTTTTCAATTTAATATTTAGTATATAGATGAAATAACCCGAATTTTTATTTTCAAAAATTTTTCAATTAAATTTAATAAACTGATAGCCTGAAAATGCAGTTAATTATTTAAATGCAAATTAATAATTCGTACAGTGATAAACCGAATCGAAAACCAACTGAAAAATCAAAAAAATAAATGAAAGTCGAGATTTGGGCTGAATCGAACCGGAATCGAACCGAATCAGCCCAAACCATCTGGAACCCTCTTCTTTCCCTTATCTTCACGCTCACTCCCCTCACCCCTCACCCATTCTCTGCGCCTACAGTCAGTCCACTGGCGACATCATCGGCACGCAGAGCAGCCGCCATCTCCTCCTCTTTCTTCTTCTTCTTCTTTCTTCTTTTCTTTTCTTTTTTTCTTCACTGCATCTGCGTCTTTGGCGAGACAGAGTAGCAGAGTGGCGCGCCACCTCCAGCTCGATCGGACTCCTCCATGCGCCACCTCCAACCGCTCCACGTCGCAGCGGCTCCGCCAGCACCCTCGGTTAGATCGCGCGGCGCAACACAGCTCCCCTGTCTGCGATCGAAGGAAACCAGCGCCATCGAGCTCAGCCTTGTCGCGCAGCCGCCAGCTCCACCAGTCGCGCCACTGCTGTAGCTCAACCCCTCCTGCGTCGATCTCAGGTGGTCCAGCCGCTCCAGCGCGTCTCCGGCGGCCAGGAACAGGCTCAGCGAGCCTCTGTCGCACCACCAGCGGTCTTCTTTTTCCTCTATCAGATCAGTCGCGCCTTGCCTGTGGTCACAGTTCAGTTGCCGCTCTCCACGATCTCCACCGTCGACCACCACCGCTTGAAGTCGCGTTTCATTTACTTGCAGTTCCGCTGAGCGCAGCAACCGATTTGGTCGACTCAGTGCCACTGCTTTCCATTTCGGCACACGTAGCATTCATTTCCGGTCAAACGATTTTCCGGCAATATTTTATTTCGGTATAAATTAATTTTTATTAATTTTGGTTAATTAATTTAATTTAATTTTAGTATTGATCTATTGATTAGTTAAAACTACTTGATTAATTAAATTTAATTCTAGTATTACATAAATTTATTAGGAAATTTTGATAATAATAAAATTTATGGAATTAAAGAAAAAGTTTATAAGCTAATGTTGATATGGAGAATGTGGAGGACGGGTTAATTGACTTGATTAGTTGCTCGATGGATGGACTGTATGGTTTGGAAATAATTGATGAACTGTCGATATTTCGACAGGTGGATAGACCAATTTTTAGGGGAAATATTACCGAAATTTCGGTAGAAAATAAAATTAATTATAAAATTTAAATTACTTATAGAGATTAAATTATTTATAGAAATTAAAAATATAGAATAAGATTATTAGAGTGATAATTATTTTTCGGTGTCATTCTTAAATTTCTTAGATCGCTCGGGTGTCCGTCTAGTGCTCCTCCAGGACAGAATCAAAGTTAGAGCTTCGTTCTCCACCACCGTGAGTAATAACAAATAATGCATATCAACACTGCATTTGCAACCGTGAGTAATAACAAATAATCATATCAAAACTGCATTTGCCATAACATTTATTTATCAAAACATTATCCACACACACACATTATATATATATATATATATATATATAATATATTAACTCTAATATTATTTTAATATATTAAACTCTAATATTATTTTATGCTGATTTATCAATCGTATATTGTTACGCTTTTTATACATCTATTATGTCACTATTATCGTATAAATATATTTGCATGATAGTACATTTGTAAGGATTTGGTGTAATACGTTGAATGAAGTGTTTGATTGCTTGTGTTATGATTATACTGTGCTTTGATTGTGTAGAATTGGGATGAAGTGAGTCACCATGGATTTGTGAGACCGTTATATGGATCTTGATTATGGTTATCGTTAGCCGGGTAAATGGGAGATCGGCGCCCCCGTGTGCACCTACTGATATAATTTGGATGATATGGAAAACCACAGGGTTGCCTCCTGTTGGTATGCCGATATTGTGAATGTAATTTATTATGATTCGGCCCAGACTAAATTTTGTTCGATAATTGAGATTGGGCTGGATTGCATGGAATTTATTTATATCCTACCGTAAATGGGCTTACTGTTCATATTAAAAATTTGTGTGGCATGTATAAGTTGAACAATTTAGGCTTACTACGGGCCTCCGGGGCCTTAAGCTTACCTGGGTCCTTGTGCCAGTCCGACTCACGAAAACGGGTCGTGACAATAGATATTGATAATTGATAACTTTGGAAACATATAATCTAATCTAAATCATCTCACCTAATTCAACTAGAACTCTAAGAACTAGAACTCTAAAATCTAATTAAGTTTATTTGAATTGAATATATTATTGTACATAATCTCCAAGTAAATTGCTACGGTAAATCAATAATATATATTACATTCAAGTGCAATAGCCAGAAAACAAGGAAGCTATTAACTATCCATCTTGTTTACTCTTTTAGCTTTTTATTAAGCTTTAGTAATTGATTGATTTATTGAATCTATGGCTGTGATACATTTGATTATATTGGTTAGATGTGTCGTATGGGAAACAAGTACTCAAGTCATATAAGATACGGAGCTGGTGATGTTGTAGTTTGAGCTGGGCTTGCAAACTTTTGAATTGCATAGATGGTGATGACTTATACACCTTATCCGTGATGACTTATACAATCATTAGACTAGTGATACAAGACTAGAGGTTTATATCCCGCGGTGCTACAAGAGGTAGATATTCGACCTACTCGCTTTTATTTTGGATACAAGATTATTTTTTTAATGTTGGTATCAGAGCATGAATGCCTTCTGTTCAAGTTTGTATATCAATTGAATGGGTTAGATTGACATTAGACATATTTAGGTGTAAATATGTTCATATTAATTATAGAGTTTACAATTTTTTTTTTTTTATATACCGTCAACCTTTATGAAAAATTTAATGTATATATTGTCCCAAAATATTTTAGATATGTTGTAATTTTTTTTTTTTTGTTGTAGGTTATTTTTAATTGATTTAAAAGAGTTTAAATTAGTTAAAGTACTTATAAACTATATTAAAAAAAAGGAACACTCTGACGTTTTAGTTTAGTGGACAATCAATAACGTCATAGTAACATTCTAAAGTCTAAAAACTTTGTTTTTTCGGAAGCAAAAAATGGAGATTATTTTTATTTACTCTCCTTTCATTAGTGTTTGTGTGCTAGAGTCTAGATAAAATTAGTGATCTAGGAAAATTAACCAAAGTGGCATGCGGATTACATTCTCTAACGCTGAGTATGAAGTTTGTGGCTAGACGGAACCACTAGAATAGTTTTGCCATTGGGTAGGAACTGTAATGTGGCAGCTCTTGATTGATTGTAGCTTATGAATTTTAGTTAGTTCATTTCCCTATATCTTTTTTCACGATATTTTCATTGTTTACTTAAAATAATTTTTTAGATTTTCTAAAATTTTTAAATTTATATTTTCTAGGTTCAGAAAATATGTTTTTTTCTTAATTTTAAACCATTTTCAATTAGTTAAAAGTGCTAAAAAATTATGGAAAAATAATTTTTAATCATATAAAAATTTCAAATATTATTTTATTATAATCTAAAAGTCTATTTTCTATTATATGTGAAATTTTAATTAGTTTAAGAATTCTAAAATTTCCAAAATAAATTGAGACAAATATTTTTGGCCATTAAAATTTTTTGAGAAAATTATAAAATTATTTTAAGTATGTTATATTGGTAGTGGTATATATTGTTAAACCAATAATTATGCAAATGTATATTTAATAATTTTTTATACTATGTTATAAAAAATTGTGGTATATGTATAAAACCTCAATGGTGGCGAGGACTCATGAACCAAAAAAACAGTTGTATAATTGGTAAGAAAATCATACATGATAAAATTAAGCTCCGAAATAGTATATGCAAGGAGAGAGTAATTAAAATGATTTACTTGTTTATTTGTGCTGGTGTGGAGCTTTGTAACAAAGCTATGGCGAACGCAAGGCCGAGCCCAACCAAGGATGGAAGCGGGCGGGTATTTCAGGATATTCACTTTGCTTCGATCCGTATTTTAAATAAATTTGAATTTAGATAATTTAAAATTCAGGTATACTTTGTCGTATAAGAGGATTTTAAACTGAGTTTTAGATGAATATATATAGTAAAAATCTAAACAGATTTGAATATAAATATTTAAATAATTTTAAAATAGTAAGGATAATAAAATTTTAAATAAATATAAATATGAATAATTTATAATGAATATGAGCATGAATAGGTTAAAATTTGCGGATCCAGTACGCTTCCATCTTTAACCCAACGCCTAAAAGAACTGATTGCGAGATGATTTATCCGTAATATACTTCGTTTTTTGTATTAACATATTAGGAGGGAGTATTTTAATTATTTATTTTTAAATTGATTTATAAATTAAATATATATTTTTAAATCAAAAAGTAAAGAAAAAAAAAAAAAAAGTCAAATTAGACTCGCTAAAAAAATTTCTCATTCTAACCCTAGAAAATATAACATCCCCTCTTTCCTCACATATCCCTCTGCACACTCACTCACAGATTGCACCTTCTTCTTAAAAAATTTCTCATTCTAACCCTAGAAAATATAACATCCCCTCTTTCCTCACATATCCCTCTGCACACTCACTCACAGATTGCACCTTCTTCTTCCTCCATTAGAACCTCTCTTCTCTTTCAGCCTGACGTCCTCGATCTTTTCTACCCTTAGCAAGGCAGGCTTTCCTCTTCTCTCGGAAGATACCTCTCCTTACTCATGTTTTTATTGAAAAAAGAAAACCTGTTTGGACATGGATGTGGAGGCAGAGCAGAGAATAGAGCATTCATGGCAGTGCTGGGATGAAAGAAGAAAATTATATACAGAAAAAAAATTTTTTTATTTGACACAGAAAATTGTATGGATATATGTCATTTCAAGTGAGCAAATGATTGGATGTTGTTGTTAACTGTGTTTGTATTGTATTGTTATTTCCTGCAGATGAAATATCTTAGCGACTGGTCTCAATTATAATTTTTCCCTTTGTAATAATAATCCATTATAATGTGGCGGGGAAGCTTTTTGGCTCCCTCTTTTAACAGAACCTCTCCCCTCTTTTCATTCTTTACCAAATTCCCGTTGCTATCAATTTTTCGAAGTGTTTCCAACAATTTCCGCTGCCCACTTCTCCATTACCATAGTTGCCATTTTCCTAAGCCTCTTCACTATATTCAAGCCTATCAATTCGCTATGGATAGAAGAGCCCGTTTTTGCAGTTTTGCTCACTCTACGACTCCTCAGATTCATGAGTCCTCTGTATCGGGTACAAATAAAGTTTCCAGAAAGTCAAACAAGAAAGCAAGGCAGGAATCACCTGAGTGGGTACTTAAATGGAAGCTTGATAGCTGCTCGAAGAGTGGTGACCTTGTTGAGGCCCTTCGCTTGTATGATGAGGCACGAAGTAATGGTATCCAGCTTACCCAACACCACTATAATGTGTTGCTCTATTTGTGCTCTTCTGGTTCTTCGGTTGAATTGAAAGGAGATAGGGTTGTTGCAAATGCCTCTGATTTGAGTTTTAAAAGGGGTTTTGAGATTTATCAACAGATGGTTACAGATAATTGCAAATGCCTCTGATTTGAGTTTTAAAAGGGGTTTTGAGATTTATCAACAGATGGTTACAGATAAGGTTGCTCCAAATGAAGCTACTTTTACAAATGTAGCTAGGTTGGCTTTTGCATCGGAAGACCCAGAAATGGCTTTTGATTTGGTTAAGAAGATGAAAGGCTTTGATATCCTGCCAAAATTGCGTTCGTATGGACCGGCCTTATTTGGATTCTGCAAGAAGGGGATGGCTGATAGAGCTTATGAAGTTGACACTCACATGGCTGAATCTGAAGTGATTGCTGAAGAGCCTGAGCTCTCTGCTCTTTTGAAAGTTAGTGCTGATGCGAAGAGGGTAGAGAAGGTGTATGAGATGCTGCATCGGTTGCGATACACTGTGAGACAAGTTTCTGATTCCACTATTGGGATTATTGAGGATTGGTTCAAGTCTGAGGATGCTTCAAAACTTGGGAAGCAGAATTGGGATGTGAACAAGGTAAGGGAAGGAATTGTGAGGGGAGGTGGAGGTTGGCACGGGCAAGGGTGGTTGGGGAGTGGGGAGTGGAAAACAGTGAGAACTAAAATTGATGAGCAGGGTATTTGTTGTTCTTGTGGTCAGAAACTTGTTTGTATTGATATAGATCCAAGAGAAACAGAAAACTTTGCTACTTCATTAGCCAACTTGGCTTGTCGAAAAGAAGTTAAGGCTGACTTTGTTCTGTTCCAGGTAAAACACAATTCCTTATGTATCCAGTATCTGATATTCAACAAAAAAAAAAAGACTATGAATTTATGTTATTTAGCATAAGCATACAAAGTTGCCATCAACTATTTCCTTTTTATTCTGCTCTTGTAAATACCGGTGCATGTTGTGTGGCTACTTTACAAAATTATCTTGTTTATGAGTCTGTTCCTTTTCCAATATTAAGATGATGATCTATCAATCCATAGCATGAGTGGTTGCTTCCATGTTGTCAGATCGGTTGACCCCTTCTAAGATTGTAAGCCTTGTATCCTGCATGTAGTCTTTGATGTCGTAGAAATAGTCTATTTTTTTCTTTTTATGCTCTTCTTAGTTTAGTTCTAACAATGATAGTAAATAGTCAATACTTGCTAATTCAGAATACTTCAGGCAAGTGTTACACACAATGATTGTCAGTGATTTCTTAATTGACTAAGGAGGTGAACTCATTCAGGAGTGGCTGAAGAAGCACGGTCCATTTGATGCAGTTATAGATGGAGCCAATTTGGGTCTTGTTAAGCAAAAGACTTTCAGCTTTTACCAGGTAATGGAGATATAAATATTGATGTTTATGACACTGCATCTTTGAGCTATTTTAAAGCAAGATGTATAGACAAATCTATTAATGATTTGCAGCTTAATTCCGTGGTTGGTGAGGTACGTCAAATGAGCCCATCGAAGAGACTGCCTCTTATTATTTTGCATAGAAGTCGTGTTACTGGTGGTCCAGCTCAGAATCCTAATAACAAGAAGTTGTTAGAGTTTTGGAAAAAATCTGGGGCACTTTATTCTACTCCTGCTGGTTCAAATGATGACTGGTGAGTTTACTTGTAGATTACTCTATATGTTGGTTTAGATGATAGCTGTTAAGTTTGCACATACTGAACTCTTTGTGATAGTGACACATTCTTTTTAGTTTTACTTTTCACTTGAAGTTCTTGTTCATCTAGAAAGCAAAGGCGTAAGTTCTGTTCCCTTACAGCCCAAACAGCCAAGAAATCTCGTTCCAGCCAAGAAAATGGACTGGAATGGTATCAATTTCAACTAGGCATGAATCTCAGCCTTTTTGGTTCATTATGGCCAAGATAGAACTGAAATAGCCATTTTGGCCAAGGTGCCTTTCTGTTGAGATAGTAAAACAGCAAAAAATAAAGGGGCAACTTTGTAAAATGAGAAAAATAATGAAGGCCTGCCTTATCCTAGCAAAGCTAAAAAAAAACGTCTTACTCAAAATTGAAGTCTTGTTGCTGAAAAGAAATATAGTTTTTTAATAATTTTCTTTATCGAATTCTAGGGCAATTAATTAACAAATTTCTTCTTTCTCTAATTCTTTTTTTTAATTTTTCAAAGATTCAAAATTTGGAGTTTATCTTTGTAAAGTTGTGTTATATATTATTTCAGCTTTAAACTTAGTTATATTACCAAAGCTAAAAATGACAGACTCAAAATCAAAGTCTTGTTGCAGACAAGACATTTTTTTATCAAACTTCAGAACAATTAATTAACAAATTTCTTCTCTCTCTCTTTTTAATTTTTCAAAATTTCAAGATTTGGACTTTATCTTCGTAAATTTATTTTATATATTATTTTAGCTTTAAACTTTGTTATATTATATTCAAAACTTGTTTTACACGCACAGCCGAGGGTGGGGGGAGGGCGAGAATATGCCAGTACTAAAATGTATCATTCCAAGGATATCCAGAAACAGCAAACCTTGCTAGAAAGCTTAATCCTTCCAGATTTGTGTGTGTGTGTGTGTGTGTGTGTGTGTGTGAGTGTGTGTGAGAGAGAGAGAGAGAGAGAGAGAGAGAGAGATTTGTTGTGTGTGTGATGTGTTTGTGTGTTGTGTCGTGTGAGTGTGTTGTGAGAGAGAGAGAGAGAGAGAGAGAGAGAGAAAGATAGAGAGTTATATTATATTTGAAAACTTGTTTTACACATACAGAAGATGCTCTTGAAGCAGAATACTGAATGTGCCCCAGTAACTGAAATATATATTCCAATAGATATCCAGAAGAGAACTGACACAGATTTTATGTGAAAGTGAAGAAGTGTCCAAATCCTTTCAGATTATGTGAAAGTGGGAAGTCCCGAATCCTTATTTGAGACTAGTTTTTAAGCAGTTTCAATATCAGAAATGTGTGTGTGTGTGTGTGTGAGTGTGTGTGAGAGAGAGAGAGAGAGAGAGAGAGAGAGAAAGATAGAGAGTTATATTATATTGAAAACTTGTTTTACACATACAGAGATGCTCTGAAGCAGAATACTGAAATGTGCCAGTACTGAAATATATTATTCCAATAGGATATCCAGAAGAGCAACTGACACAGATTTATGTGAAAGTGAGAAGTCCAAATCCTTTCAGATTTATGTGAAAGTGGGAAGTCCGAATCCTTATTTGAGACTAGTTTTAGAGTTTCAATATCAGAAAGATTTGGAGTTGTTTGCATCTATGGATATATGTGCTTTAATGCTTTTGTCTAATTTTGATGCCTAAAGAATTTTAAGTTTGAAGCTTAGAATGCTGTTATTTTCTTATCAAGTTTGCCAGAAAATTTCAGTATAATTCAGATTTGAAATTCTTTGCATGAACCTTAGTTTACTTCTCCATCAACTAACTCAAACGAATCCTAAATTCCCCTAGAATCACTATTTTCAGTACTCTTCATAGTTCCAAAACCTTGATTTCCTTGTCTTGGTCTTGTTCCCTAATTATACCCTTCTTTAAAAAACCTACTTGTCAATAGACATTGTTTACCCATTTATCCATTACAGGGGTTAACAATGCCTGTTTGGTAGCAGCTGGGGCTTGTATCTTTGGGAAGAATGCGCTAAGTAAGACAATGAAACAATTTCTTGAGTAGCTGTAATTGGTTAGTTAGCTAGATGCCTGGGCTTTGTATGGAGGATGAGTAGTAGTTGAATGTGGTGGGAATTTATCTTTTCAGTAATTTGTTTGAAGTTTCTTAAAAATGAAATTATATGTGTTTTCATTTTTGTTGCCAGAGTACTTTTTTTATCATTAGAGGACTAAATTTTGGTTATTTTATTTGTTCCCATGCAATTCAAATATCGCAGAAAGTTTTATTTGAACTGTAGCAGCAAAGTGCCCAAGTCCACAGCAACATATATGCTATGAAATTAAATGTTCTCGCATCACCACCTTGGTTCTATTTTTGTATTTGTTGCATTTTGATTTACAGGTACTGGTTATATGCAGCTGTTAGTTGCAAGTGTTTATTGGTGACAAATGATGAGATGAGGGACCACCTTTTCCAGTTGCTAGGGACTTCATTTTTTCCACGATGGAAGGAAAAACATCAGGTATTTTCTGTTCTTTTGTGTATGTATGGTCATTACTTCTGTTTAATTGTGTTGTAAGTATTCATTTTGAGAACGGCTTGCCTTTGGAGAATAAATTTTTTCTTGCATGGATTTCGAAAAGACTCCTAATTATTTGCAAACTAGCTCATGTCTGGTTAATAAATGTTCATCTTGTGATAGTCTCAGAATATTGCATTTGCACTGCACTTGTGCTCGAGACTCATAGAGCTTTACTGTTATGTTCATGCAACCAGGATCTCGTCACGGGCCTGTTAATAATAAAATCTGATTCAAAAGCTAAAGATTTTGTTTTCTAGCATGATTCTTTCCTCGACATATTGTTGCTGAAAATTGCAAGCTTGTTAAAAGGGAGCTTTTACTTTAGGTTCGTTAAAAGGGAGATCTAACCTTATACTTGTTAGAGAGAGTCTAGATCTCAATTTAGTTGAAAATAATTCTGCTTGTTATTGTTTTATTTCATGCTTAAAACCTCCAATTTATAGAAGAATACAAGTACTAATTAAAGTAATTCTACTAGAATTAGATCTACTACCATAAATAAAATAAGAAGACTACTAGATAAGAAGACTACTAAATAGGAAGATTACTAAATAGGAGATCTCCTACCAAAAAGAAAAATAGGAAACTACTAAATAGAACTCTTAATAATAAAACTAATAATTTAAGGAAACTGCAAACTGTCATAATTGCATCTCTAACATTAACTATCTGAGTTTTGAGTTTATGGATGGCATAACTTGACTGGAGTATCTGGAGTGCAGTTCATTATGTTCATTCCATTGCTTTTGGCTCACAAAAAAAGAAAAAAAAGGAGAAGGAAGGAAGAAAGGAATCTGACCTCCATTTCTAGCTCCAGTTTTGCTTGAGATCAAATGTGATTTCAAAACTCAATCCTGGATCTGCCCAGCCAAACCTCTAACTGGAATGAGATGATAATAATAATAATAATAACTACTACTACAAACATTATCTATGCATCTTTTAAGATGCTCTAATAGCTGCTGCTACTTCACATGAGATGTTGTGTCTGACATCAACTAACTTCCAAAATTTTGAACTGAATATTTAAGCTATGCATTTAAACTTTGCATGAGATTTGTGATTTTATGGAATTAAAATAAACTCCGTGAGCTGCATGGAATCAACTATATATTGTGATTGTTGCAAGCCACTGATGATGCTGTGTGTGTGAAAGGGAAATCATCATTTTTGTGAAAAATTTTGCAGGTTCGGGTATCTGTATCAAGAAGTGGACCTGCTCTACACATGCCACCGCCTTGTTCAATTGTCATTCAGGTATAGAAGATCAACCAAATGTTTATATCATATGTGAACCAGAAAGATGGTCTGCGTGGCTTTTTAGGTGCTGGAAATTATCACAGAATGGGACCTAATTTAATCTCGCCAATTCAAATTCTTAATGCAGGAGTCTGAAAATGGTAGTTGGCATATCCCAACTGTCACAGATGATCTTGAAACACGAAGGCAATGGTTATGTGCTACCAGAGAAAGGCATAATTACAGTGACAATAACTTGGCAGTTTCTGTTGCATGAAAGGCCACATTAATTGCATGAAAGGAGTAAGCTACAGTGACAATAGCAGATAGATCGAGTATGATCTACGTTTTGGAAACATTTGACACAAAATGTGAAATGAGTAGTGATAATTGTAATTATAATTTTACATTTTCATTCTTGTCGAAGTAAGATGAAATGTTAGTTCTTCTCTGGTAGAGGTATGGTTTAAATGAATAGCTGATCAAGAAGATAGAATGAAATGGTGAATATATAGTGAAGACCTCGCCGAAAACTGATTCCTATGAATGCCGAACTTGGTAAGTCGCAGTCTGGGATGCTTGCAAGAAGAAATCAATTTGAGGGCGAAGGAAAGTGATCCTAATGGAAGGGAAGTGAAAGCTCGGGACCAAGAATTCTATAGGCTTCTAGCTTTTTTTCTTCGAAAGGTCGGCCAGATGAGGAAGTAAGGAAGTACGAGATCGTAAAAGATATAGAATATAGAAGTCCCTGAGTTTTATTTTAAAATTTTCTTATTTTATGTTTGGAAATTAATTTATACAAAAAAAAAAAAAAAAAATCCCTGAGTTTTTATTTTTAAAATTTTCTTATTTTTATGTTTGGCATAATTAATTTATACAAAAAAAAAAAAAAAAAAAAAAAATGATATTAGAACTTAGGGTTGTTTATCAAACTGCAAATTGATTTAAATCAATTTAAACTGATCTAATACTGCGGTTTTAAAAGATTGTTGGTTTGGTTTAATTTTATAACATTTAAAAACCGAGCTTTTGGTTAGGTTTATTATAGGGTCAAAATTGCCTAAATTGAGCTTTTGGTTAGGTTTATAGTTTTAGAGTCAAAATTGCCTGATCAAATCAAACCGTTATATATACATGTTTGAACTCTCAAACTCCATTCCATTTTTTGAATGAATTTTTTTGTATTGATTAATTTATTAAATACTAAATTATGAGATTAGTTTATATATATTGGATAATAATTAAACAATAATTTTTTAGATAATAGTTGAACAATAATTTTTTATTAATTGGATAAACATGTAAAAAAATTAGATTGATATATATGAACAAACTATATGTGCGTCAATGATAATCTTTATAAATTTTAGCAATAGATGTAATTACATTAAAATGAAATTTTATATAAGTTGCTTCATTATTATTTTACTGAAAATTATGCTAAGAATATACATATAAAAAAAATTAATTCAAAAACTTTTAATAGCTTACTAAAATCATTTGTATTAAATGACATAGTTTTATTAATTATTTTTCATATATTTTTTTAAAATATTTATTTGATATATTAGTGTAATGTTAATTTTTTTTTCCTTGTTAATTAGATGAATGAGAAAGTTTAATTTCTCTTATCGCAAACCGCATAAATCGTCAAACCAAACCAAACTAAACTGCTATAAAAAATTTAGTTTAATTTGTAAATTTTGATGATTTGGTTTGGTTTTAATTTTTCTTAAACCGCCACTTTAGATTGGATTCGATTATCATATCCAAACAAAAACACGAACAGATAGAACTTGTATGAAAATTCAATCTAATCATATTAGACTTGTAGTTAAATGACACGATTATCATTACAATTTATATCCCAATCTATTAAAATTATAATACTAATCATTATTTTAAATATATAAACATGATTAAAAAAAGTAAAATAAGTTAATTTAATATTAATTATCATGTATAGGGGAAATATAACTCAATTCCTGCAAATGAGTTTTTACAAATAGATTAACATTAGAAAAAAAAAAAAAAAAAAAAAAAAAAAAAAATTTTGAAATATATTTAACCTTGATAAAAAAAAGTTTAAAATAAGTTGTAAATTTAGTTATTAATTATCATGTATAGGGGAAAATTATAAAACTCAATTCCTGCAAAGGATTTTTTACAATAGATTAAACATTAGGAAAAAAAAAAAAAATAAAAAAAAAAAAAAAAAAAAAAACAAGCAATGTGGGTTTCCCAATTCTACTACATATTGTCATATCTCTTAACTCGAGGAATAGGAATTATAAGAGGACAAGCATTAATTACCAAAAAAAAAAAAAAAAAAAAAAAAAAAAAAGCAATTGTGGGTTCCCAATTCTACTACATATTGTCATATCTTAACTCGAGAATAGGAATTATAAGAGGACAAGCATAATTACCAGTATATAAAAACATTTAAAAATTAAAACCATGCAAGCATCTTAAACTGTATGATCCTGAAAACATATAGACTAAAAGTAACAAACAATCCCATGTTTATTTAAGAAAGAGAAAACACATAAGAGGTTTAAGTTGCAGGAAACCAAAAGCCTTTCAACGATCCTTACTCTGAATAATCTTCATCAAGCAATCCAACATCCAACTGGTATCGAAGAATTCCACCAATGCCACCAAATCCTTCGCAAAATTGTGATCCCTCGTGGGATTTATCTGTGACGATTTCAAGCGAGCAACCAAACTTCTTGTACTCGTCCAGAAGCCACTCTACCAGAGTCATTCTTTCCTGGATCTCCAAGTCAGCTGAGTTAGTCAAATCCTCGAAATTTTGCTTGTCAGCCTCTTCCTCTTTGTTCAAGATCTTTATAACAATCCCATTTGTCTTGCTGTTCTTCAACACAAATCGATTCATATCCAAATCTTCCCAAATGATTAGTATCTTAATAGCACCCATTTCTAAAGCATTCATAGTATCATTCAAGCCATAAAAAAACTTTCCACTATCCTGATCGATTTCCTAAAAGAAGTTCAAAATCACGCGTCTCTCCTGCATGAACTTGACATTCGATAAAACCTCATACGACAAATCAATTGCTTGATTGAATCCAATTTCTCCCCAACAAGAAATGTCAAGTACTTTGAGTATTTTATCCTTCAGACGAGGATCAAACAAGTTCGATTGACTTAGTTCTGTCTTAAAATCAGCAGAACCAGCAAGTACTAGTCCAGAAACAGTAGGCACACACGTTAAATGATCTATAAAATGCTTTATAGAAACTTCTGCTGCCTTTCTCACATAATTGTGTCGACTCTCAGCTCGAAGACGATCAAATCTATTTTGTGATTGACCACCTCTACCATGTTTATTTGGAAGATCAGTACCAAACTTTTCAAGGATTTCGCGGCTGTTTCCTCTTAATGACCCTACCAGAATCCCTTTCCCATCAATAATTATAAATCCAAACCTGTCATCAGGATAAAAAAGATGATGCAATGCTTCTGTATGGAATTTCTTGTCACACAGGTAGAGGGATTGGCTTATAGGCTTAAAAGGCATAAAATCACAAGTAAACCTCCTTTCTTTTCCATCTTCAGTTACAACTAGTCCTGTATATAGGGCAATTCCTTTGGAAGGAACCTCTTTGTAAAGTTAGCGTCTTTGTAGGGCAGAGGTAATAGCATCTTGTACAGACTTTCGGTTCACCCTACTCCTGATGTTGGCCGCGGTTCAATATTCCTTGCCAAGCATTTTCAAAACTTTCGAAATTTGATCATTGGGACGTAGTTAGCAGCAGTGAAATCATGCTGTTGCCAAGCATTTTCAAAACTTTTGAAATTTGATCATTAGGATGTAGTTAGCAGCAGTGAAATCATGCTGTTGTTGCCGCCTTTTGCAGTATCAAGAGATTTAATTAGTCTTTTCATTTTCCACATCTCAAGGTTCATGTCAACAGTTTCCTGATTCTTTGCCATTGTAGCGTATGCCTGGAAACAAAGAAGCTAATAATAATAAGTGTAATTGATAAAACAACAGACAAAACCACAACAAATTATAACAACCCTAAAGCATTTAATTATGGTTGAACATGTTTTCCAAGAAAATAATAAGCACATTAATATAATTAAAATTTAAGAATTAAAGAAAGAAAAAAATCTGATATAATGTCTTGTGGTGTGCCCACTTAAGTGGGATCCACAACATTATGAAGAAGTGGTGTATCCACATGAGTGTAAGTGGTGTGTCAACTCAATTGGGACCCTAACTTCTCCTATAAATAGAGAAGAAGTTTACTTCATCAACACACACAACAAGAAGTAGAGAACTCATACTTAGAAAGAGTTCTTTTTAGGAAAGGTTTCCTAAAGCTATGGGAGAGAAAAATAGTGAGAAAATTATTTTGGGGTATTTTTTGAAAACACTGTATTATGTATTACTCTCTTTGTAAGCCTACTATTTTAATAATGGAAGAAAAAAATTAGGAGTTTGTCCCGTGGACGTAGCCCTAAACAGTTAAGGGTGAATCACGTTAATTTCTGTGTGTCATTTTGATTGTTCTGCCGCCGTAATTATTCTCTTAATTTATCGAGAGGGCCTAACAAAGTGGTATCAGAGCCGAAGGTTTAGGTTGGTCTAGCTGGTCAGATAGCAATACTAGATTCGTAGATATATTTCAAAAATAAATATACCACGATGAAGAGAAAATTACACCGAATCCGTTGGTGCAGTCCGTTTGAAAAACCGTTGCGGAATTATTTTAAAAGGTGATAGTAATACTCATCACTATTCATTACTGTTGCTGGTCCGTTACAAGTAAGCCCACTACTATTTGTGTACAGTACTATTAACTTATACGGTTACTATTCATCGAATTTTTGAGAATAAGTTATGGAGGCTAGGACAAGCAAAATGATCAGTCTAATGGTGCAAATTACCATATATGGAGAAATAAAATGAGAGATCTCCTTATGGTAACCAAAATGCATCTTCCCGTGTTTAGTTAAAGTAAACCAGAAGACAAGACTGATGAAGAATGGGCTTTCGAGCATGAGCAAGTTTGCAGCTATATTCGACAGTTTGTTGACGACAATGTGTACAACCACATATGTAATGAGACTCATGCCAGGACATTATGGGACAAATATGAAGAGCCATATGCCTCAAAATCCGGTAACAACCAATTGTTCTATTTGACAAAGCTAATGAATTTCAAATACCATGAAGGTACTTATGTAGCAGATCACTTGAGTGAAATGCAGGCAACTATTCATCAGCTATCAATAATGGGCTTAAAATTTGATGATAAAATCCTCGGCCTTATGGTGCTTGCCTCCTTACCAGAGTCACGGGAGACTTTGAAAATATCAATAACAAACTCTACACCACATAGTGGAGTTAGCTGGGAAAAAGCTAATGAATTTCAATACCATTGAAGGTACTATGCTAGCCAGATCACTTAGTTGAATGCACGGCG